TGGAAGGGCTGATGTAAGTGTTGGGGATGTTTGGAGACAGCATGATCAGACCACAGGTTTATCCATCAACCTAATTTTTCATGTTAAAAGCTTGGTGGAATTGCCAAGAACAAAATATCTGTGCTTGGCTGGAAAAATGGGTTCTTCTGTATTTTACCTGCAGCTCAGTTCTCAAACGAACTCTCTAAGCATATGTCTCATTTCCCATGTGTCTGGTTAGGTGTGTATTTTATTACAGCTACAGATAGCACTGTAAACATACAGAATGCCTCATCAGGGTAGAATAGGATACGTACAGCCCCCAACTCATAAAGCTTAACATATATTAATGAAGAAGATGCTAAATTATTCCCACCCGTCCCATTAAGATGGACTTACAGAAAATATGTGATGTGGTCAGAGAGGGGAGTTAGTGCATGAATCACAAGCTCATTGGCAGCAGGACCAGCCCAGTAAATCAGTTAGTTTTTGGCTGCCATCTGAGCTTGGAGGCTTGGAGGGGACCTCATAGTCTCTCACCTCTGACAGTTGTGCACCTCCTCCCTTTCATGTGCCCAGGGCTCAGGAGAGGAATGAGGGATGAAACAGATCTATGATTTGAGAAGACAGCAATCCTGTGGCAGCACAAAACCCCAGGAAATAAAGATAAGAATTCTCTGGGCAATCTGTATTTTCATAAGAGCTGACCACACATTTCCTGTGCACGGCTTGTTTCACCTAAGCTGCAGAAAAAAGCACTTCACCCAGAGTAGGTCTTTGCAGCATGACTATCACTGAAGCAACAGCTTTACAGATCAAAAATTAAAGGAATTCCCTTATGCATTTAACAGTGAGAGTGCTGGGTTGGATTGGGTTGGGCCCAATGTGATCTGAACAGCAGGATCCCCAAATGGGGATCATTAACAAATTAGTCTTTGACTTGTCATTTTAGACGGGCAGCTTTAGGGGTTGGGTAGCAGACAGAAAGAGTTTCAGGTTGGACAAACAGACGTCCTCATGCTACAGTCCCTTGAACTCAATGGTTTAGCTGCAATCCAGGTGAAGAAACAGTAAATTTTAAGGCCGTTGTCTCTTCCAATTTTGTCTTCATCCCATTTAGTCAACCTGGGTGGCTGCTGATACTGCGCCCTGTTTGGGAGAGTCCAAAGAATAGAAAAACCCTCAAACCAAACGCTCTGCCAAGCAGACGGGTGAGCAGGTGCCTCAGCAGCAACTGGCATGAGGCACTGCAAGACAGACCTCACCTTTCCTACCCTCTGGCTGGCCATGGTATCCCACCAGTGTATTTTGCATCTTGGTCTCACCAGCTTTTTCCGGTGTATCTGAGAAAGAACCAGAAATGGGGTCCATGCTGCCCCGTTAGCTTGCCATCTCTTTGGGATCAGGTTGGTCTTTGCGCTCTGTGTCTGGGTGGTGCCTGGCACGACGGGTCAGGGCCACCACACATCTCCTTTATACGCTGCCATCAACTCTTTTCACCGTGGAGCCCCTGTTTGGGCTTTTCAGGCCACCCACTGAGCAGGATGGGGCAGCCCCTTCTGCAGACACTCTGCTTCTTGGTGCTGGCTCCACATGGAGTTTAGTGTAACGTCCCTGGCCTTGCTAAGTCGTTTCGCTGATTAATTTTGGGTGGTTTTGTTTTTCCTGTCAGTATTTGTGCTTGCAGCAGTTGGGAGGCAGTGGGGTGGCAGCCCTGGAAAGCTCGACTCATCTGTTTATCTGCCGGCCCGGGATGGCTGCAGGATGACATCTGCATACCATTCCGCTGCGGATCACTTCCTCACCCTGGAAGGTCGCACTGCCTGCTGCCACACCAGGGCGGCACAGCCCCGCACCGTCCCAGCCGTGGGGCCACGCACAGTCACCAGCTGGGCAGGCGCTGAGCCCAGGTTGAGACCCACTGGTTTCACAAAGGGTCAAACCCAGGCAGAGACCTTGAGGGGGCCAGGAAAAGGGAGGTCATTTCCAGCACTGCCCAAATGTCACACAAGTGCCGCTCCACCGGTACGGTGTTTGGTGTGGAGGAGCCGGCTGGCCCAGGCACTCACCTCGGCTGCTCCCTTTGCATTCCCAAGCTCCAGGTGTCTCCTCTGACTGTTGCATGTTGCAGATGGGGCCGTCCAGCTCAACACCACTCCCTCTGGCAAGCTCATGCTGTGTCAAAGAAAGCCAGAAAGCCTCCTTTTCTTCTGGTTGGTCCTTCTTCCCCATTCTTTTCTTGCCTCTGCTTAGTTGTTCTTCTCCTTGTATTTCTTCTTCAGATTTTGAACAGCCGTTTATCAACAAGCCGGAGACCCTCCTCATCAGCAAGAAGGAGAACACTTGGGTACCATGCCTTGTGTCCATCCCAGATCTTAACGTCACACTGCTCTCGGTGAGAGCTCGACCAGTGGAAACTGGTCTGAGGTGTATTGCATTTGTTCTGTATTTGTAATTGCTTGAGTGGAGGCAGGACAGGCACTGCCAGGAATGGAAAATGCATGGGATACATTTTCCATGGAAAGTACAAGCCACTGGCTTCCTCGTTTTATTTGCTGGTTAAAGCTGTGCTGTCCAGTTCCCTTGGGCAGACCCCACGGGTTTCCTGCCAACCTTGCTTCTCTTCTCTGGAGCTCTATGAAACAAAACAAGACTGTTTTAATCCCATTTCCCCACAGCATCCCCTGTTTGCTCTGGTCTCTGTGATCTAGAAACCCTCTAGGTGGTCAGCATCCCCACAGGGGAGGAGGCTGCAGCCCTGGGGCTGATGACTAAAAACAACTCTGTTATCAGTTTGCTTGTGCCTTTTTTTTTTTTTTTTTTTTTTTTTCAATGCAAATACATCCTTCCAGGATGAGTGTTACTATTGTACAAAGGCCTCCAGGGACACTCTGGGGGCCAGGGGCCTTTCGCTTGCCCGGGAAGGACTCTACCCAAGGTCAGCACTCATCCCGGTGGGGCTGATGTTTGGGACATCAGCATCAGTTTCCTTAGCTATCACTAGAAGTTTCCATTCCTGGAAGTCTCTGGCCCACTCTGCAGACGGAGAGGTTCATAGTGCAGGATACGGCTGCTCAGGGTATAGGGGAGGCCGCGATTCCTAGATGACAAACCCTCCGGGGGAGAGGGCAGGAGGCCAGCACAGCATGATACTACATCGTTTCTTCCCTCAAAAGGGGTGTGTTAGCCAGCATAAAGCTTGGAAGGTGTGGGAATGTTGTTACCTTCTTATTTCAGTTGGAAAAAATGTTGATTTTTCTAGCAAAATTCTCTCATCCATCCTGACGGGAAAAGCACTTTCTGGGACAACAAGAAGGGGGTGCAGGTACCCACACACTTGATCAGGGACTCCTTGTTTGTCCAGTGTGAGACTGTCATCAACAAGAAGGTCTTCAAATCCAATTTCTTCATCATCCATATAGCAGGTGAGTATTTGGGAAGGTGCAGGGGGGCAGTTTGGATGACTCTCAAGTCCATCAGTGTGGTTCAGGGGGTTGTTACGGTCCTCTCTAGCTACATAGACTCTGCATGGTGCTTATATTTCCTCTACTGTGTGCCAGAGATACGCCAAGCAGCAGGAGGTCATACCCAAGCCTCCTGTAACTGCATAGCCTGAGTCAAAGAGTTAATAGATCAGAAATGTTTTTTCATTGCCTCTTCTACTTCAGGGAGCGAGCTGTATGACATCCAGCTGTATCCCAAGAAAGCCATGGAGCTGCTAGTGGGAGAGAAGCTGGTCTTGAACTGCACAGTGTGGGCTGAGTTCAACTCTGGCGTCCGCTTCCAGTGGACTTACCCTGGCAAACAGGTACCAGCAAACAGAGCAGCTCCCCATGCACTGAACCATTTCCCTCTGAGTCATCTGCTCCTGCCCCTTCGTTGTTCCTCTTCACATCATTGGCAGGGCTCTGCTTCATGATCCTAACCATGTTGTGCCCCGGACATCTTGGTCAGAGTGCTTTCCCATTTTTCTCTCATGCAGCAGAAGCCAGACAGAGGGAAGACCCCTTTTCCTGGCAGAAAGCACCCTCCTTGCCAAGGTGTTACTGCTCTGGGGGACTCCTGGGCAAACACTGGCTGCAATTCCACCAGTGCAAATCCAGACCAAACACCACTGGCTTAAAAGGAGGTATTCTAGCCACACAGCCCTGGTTACCAAAAGCCTGCGAGGGTGTCCCTTCCCTGCTGTGTTTTCCCCCTGTTGTAGTTTCTGGCTCTTGAGACCAGTGAGACAGGGGAGACCCTTGAGGACATCACTCTGTTCACGTACCTATAGGGCTCCCAGCCTGGTTACTGGGCTGCAGGTTAGAGCAAAACATGTGCTAAACTCTGACCTCAGCCTCAGGTGGTCAGTCACACAGGGCTTGTTGCCTTTCCATCCCTGACAATGGCAGTCAGTGGTGGAGATGCCTGTCCAAGGAGAGACAAGCACTGGGCAGCCAGAAGTGTCAACGTGAGGAGCCCATCTGCACAGCCCCATTCCACTGATGTCTTTCATCCCCTTCTCTGTCATGTCCTGCAGACACAGCGGGCAGTGATGGAGCCTGAGCGCCGGTCCCTGCAGACACACACAGAGCTCTCCAGTATCCTGACCCTCCACAATGTCAGCCAGCAGGACCTGGGCAAGTACACGTGCACCGCCACCAACGGTGCCCAGATGCTGGAGGAGAGCACCGATGTCATCGTGCATGGTACGGCGCCCTCCACTCCCTTGCAGAGCCACAGCCAGAGCCGAGCTGCCACCAGAGCAATCCCCAGACTGCTTAGGCAGTGCTTGGCCCAAAGCTCAGTAGGGGTGCTCCTGCACCTCCATCCCACTCTGCTTTAGTGACACCCAGCCTTCCTGCAGTCCCTCAACCCTTCTGCACCCCAGCACCACATGGGGAGCATGAGCGCATTTGACAAGGTGCCAAGATAATGAGAAAGACGCAAACACCAAATTGGCCCAAGTGCCGGTAGGATGGCAGGACACAGAGATCTCGTGGCCCTGTGGCAGATGCAGTGCCCCTGTGGCATGGCTGGCCTGGGAGGCACCCAGCTGCGGGTGCACAAGGCACCATCAGCACTGGGAGGCTGTCTCCTGGCAGCAGAAACTCACGGGGCAGCACAGGCTCCCTGTGTCCCCGATGGCTTCCAACAGCGAGGCAGAGGCAGCTCTTCAGCTGCCGGAGTCACGGCGCTGTGCTGGCCTGCCTGGCACTCACTCCCTTCTGCTCCACAAAGGGGGCCCTGCTGGGAGCAAAGCTGTGGAAGAAGGGTTGGGGGTCATATGGGCAGACGAGACAATAGTGGATTTTGGTTATTTTGACTTCATCGTTGCAGAGTAGTCATTTTCAACGTCACTGCCACAACACCCCACCTATCCTTGCTCCTTGCTGTCGGGCCATGCGGAGAGCAGCAGAGCTTGGTGACAGCTTGTCCATTTGTGCTCTCCTCTCCTCCATGCTCACCTTTTTTCTTGCAGAAAAGCCCTTCATCAACGTGGAGTGGAGGAAGGGCCCAGTGATAGAAGCCACTGCAGGAGATGAAGCCGTGAAGCTGCCGGTGAAAGTCGTGGCTTACCCCTCACCAGACTTCCAGTGGTAACGCACCTTTCTTAGCCTGAGCCACCTTCTCCTCTCCTCCTTCCCTCTGCCAAGTAGGGGAGCCTAGCCTGGCCCTCTTTCTAGGTCCCTGTGTGGCCAAGATTGTCACAAATGTCACTTTGTCCCACCCATGGGGGTCATTTCTCCCACCTGCCCTGGCTCAGCTGCACAGCTTGGGATGGGAGGAGGTGAGGTCTGGAGGGGAAGCAGCAAAGGTCCTGGCCTGACTTGGCAGCTCTGTGCTGTCTGGAGGGGCCAAATGGAGCTCCCACAGGAGCTGTCCCTCTTGTCCCTCTGCAGCGGAGATCACGGCTGCCCAGAGGAGCAAGAGAGTGGGCCAAGTTGTGCACTGCATCGTGCTGCACTTTGGCCAGAGCTGGCTGGGAGCTTTGCACCTGCACGCGGCTCAGGGCAGAGCTATGACATCCCCAAAACGATGCACAGACCCATAAGTCAGGTCCAGGGAAAGCCCAGGGGTCTCTCCAGACAGGTCCCCAGCGCTAGCAAGGCATGCCCTGACTGCGCTCTAGTGGGGACCAGCAAACCCCTGCCCAGCTGCCAGTGGGACACTTCCTCCCCATGGCTGCATTTTCTCTCTGCCTCCCCGCAGGTACAAGGACGGGAAGCTAATTCCCAAGCAATCTCAATCTTCAATGCAGATCAAGGATGTGTCGGAGCAGCATGCTGGGACATACACGCTGGTTCTGCGGAACAGGCTGGCAGGGCTGGAGAAGCGCATCAGCCTCCAGTTAATCGTCAATGGTAAGGGAGGGGGCCAGGGCCAGGGCTGGGGCTGGGGGGACAGCGCTGAGCCTGTGGCCCCCAGCCTTTGGGCTGCCCCAAGACCAAGGCCCCATTGCTGTCCTGAAGCAGTTGGTACCTCTATCATCTCCTTCTCCCCATTGCTGAGGGATGCTCTGGTTACAGCAAGGCTGGTTCCTTGTGGCCTGGGCCATACAGCACAGTTTTGTTCCTGGCTCCATCACTCTGGGCAGAATATGTCCTTGCTCAGGGGCCATTTCCCAACTGCAGCTGGAGATGCTGCTCAGGGTGACCCTGACTGATGTGGACTTGAGGGCAGGGCAGCTGCAACACACACGAAGCCTGGAGCTGGAGCAGTTCCTCTGGATGGGAAGCTTCTAGGGAGTTTTCCCCTGGCAGAAACTGGTCCCTGTCATGCAGGAACCAGAACATAAAAAGTGCTAGAAGGACTGCTGCTTGGAGATTTGTCTCCAGCAGGCTCTATAGCCCTGTGCAGGGGGGTGCCAGACAATGTTTTGAGATCTGCAGCATCCAGACAGTGACACTCTGCAGAGGAAGGAGAAAGAATGTAACTTGCTTCTGCCAAGTATAACCTGCTCTGCCTTGCAGGCCGGGAGCTGCCCACTCTGCGTAGATGGGCCTGGGGAGGGCTGTGCCCGGCCTGGGGCTGCAGCGGCTGAGCCCACGGCCGCTCACGGTGTCACTCTGATCCTTGCAGTTCCTCCACGAATCCATGAGAAGGAAGCCTCTTCCCCAAGCATCTACTCCCGGAGGAGCCCCCAGGCCCTCACCTGCACAGTCTATGGCATCCCAGCGCCGGAGGTGATCCAGTGGCAGTGGAGGCCGTGGATGCCCTGTCGGATGTTCTCCCGACGCAGCCTGTGAGTGCCATTTCCTCCAACAACCGTGTCTTACCAGGCCACCAGTGTGGCGTTAGGGGCTCCTTGTGACTGTGGCTGTGTACCAGACCCCATCTCGCTTTTGCTCTCCCAGCCACGACATGGCAAGAGGAGGACAGCACCGATAGCTCCAAGTGCTGTACACCCACTCGCCCTGTAAAGAGGCAGAGTGGAGCCCACCGGAGACGCTTGTGTTCCATGTGGGAGTTTTGCCTAGCTTGACTGGTCCCAGACACCAAGCACTTCCACAGCTTCCCCTGCGTCCTTGGCCATCTGCATCTGTCAGGGGATGTCCATGGCCCAGCCACACCTCACAGCACCTGCAATAAAACCGCTGACTACTGGGCTAATGGGGAAACTGAGGCAAGTTGCAGAAGGAATTGTCACAGCCCTTTGGTGAGACCCTGAGACAGCAGCTGGGGCTCACCCCATTCCTGCCCTAAGGTCCCTGGGTTTTTTTGGTCCTTCATCTTCTGCTGAGTAATGATGGAAGCAAAAGTGCTCATAGGCAGGGGAGCAGAGCTGCTGCATGCGAGGAAGAATTGCTGCACTGGGTGGAAGTGCCAGATCTCTGCCAGCTGCTGGGATGGTTTGCCAGGAGGTTGTTTGTGCAGGCAGCAAGGGTGCATGCCCACTGTCTGTGCCCTGGGAAGCTGGGGCAGCATCAGGCAGGGCTGCAGTGGCATTTTCTAGCAGCAGCCTTGCAGGAAGAAGGAAAAGGGATGCTGGGGAGTTGTAGCCAGAGCAGTCAGGGTGGAGGACAGCAAGGTGCCTGGAGGAAGCTGGGTCCCGCAGCCCTATGCAGGCTGTTGCCGAGCGAGGGACGCCAGAGAACTCTCCACTGCATGCAAGAGCACTGTGGCCCTGTCAGGAAGCAGAGGGGCTCATGAATTATGAGCACTGTCTCCCAAGGCCACCATATTTCTGCCTAGCATAGCTCCAGAGGATGCAGGAGGCTTCTTTCGAGCTTCCTGTTGTTTACAAAGCTTGTTGATGGGCTCGCCCCACTGAGCTCTCTGCCCCGCACTGCCAGCATGCACCCTTGCCACTGCTCATGGGCACTCAGATCCCACCTGCTTTCCTGTCATCGTAAGCCCTCTCCCTCCACGCCTCCCACCCTGAATTTTGGGTAGACCCTCCCATCTCCCCACCCCACCTGCGTTTCAGAAGGATCCTGCAGGCTGCAGCATCCCGGGTCCTTGAAGATTTGGGCACTTCTCCCCACTTGCCTGTCTCAGCCCAAAGAGGTACCACCATGCTGCTGTGAGACACCAGCAGCATCGCTACTTCGGATGTTTCCCTCCTGGTATTTGTTGAATCAGAGTCAGCTGTAACACCCTTGGGTGCTGCACCCTCTGCTCTTCAGGCCAGCGTCCAACCAGTCTGTGACATCCCTGGCTCTGAGTCCCAGCAGGGGTTTAAGGCCTTGTTGCTGGCAAAGTGGCATCAAGAACTGCCCCAGGCACACATGAAAGGATTTCACCCCTGCCTTTCTCCATCCCTAGCAGGGAAGGATGAAGCCACCGGCTTGGGGGTGAAGACACTGCCTGGGACACCAGTATCCATTCCCTGCCTCCGTTTTCACATCCATAGATGATGTTTGCCTCACTATGATTGCAGAGCACCCTTATAAAACACACTAGAACTGTGTAAACAAGAGACTCAGGAAATTTTGCAGAGTCAGAGGACAGGGGCATCAGTTCTCAGACAAAATGCTATTTTTTGCTGCCTTTTTCCCAGCTGACCCTCTCTCCATCTTTCTTCTCTTTCTCCTGCTCCTCCCGGGCTGCTGGATTAGCAATAGCAGGCACCGGGCAGCAAGACGCCATCAGCGGGACCGGATGCCCGAGTGCAAGGACTGGAAAGATGTGTCACAGCAGGATGCGGTGAACCCCATCGAAAGCATTGACACCTGGGTGGAGTTCGTGGAGGGGCGGAACAAGGTGAGGCTGTAGTCCCAAACCCATCCTGGAGCAGGGAGCTGGAGACAGGCACCCTCAGAGGGGTCCTTTGTGATCAGCCAGCAAAAGTGGCCTGGAAACGAGCCTGGCAGAGCCAGATTTGGGGAGGGCTTCACACCTCTGCTTCTAAAGTAAATCATCAGCGGCCGTTCCCAGCTCTGGGACTCTGCAGTACCAGGCAGCCCCACGGCGAGGGAGAGCTGTCATCTTTGAGAAATTACCCTGCGTCCAGAGAGGCTCCCACTGGGGCTGGCTGCACAGGAGGGTTTACACCGATAGCTGTTGAACGCAGGGCACCCAGCGAGGGAGGGCTGGGGGACGTGTGCTGGGGGGGCTTCCAAGGCCATTTTTGAGCACTCTTGCTGGGGTGTTCTGGGAGAGCCAAACCCCACAGAGCAGCCTGGGCAGCTGGGAAAGGAGAGCAGGAGTCACAGACTGACCAGGAAATCTCCGGCCTCGGGAACATGCATGTGTGTAGCAGGGCATTTCATCCAGCTGTCCCCATCCCGGTGGGGCGAGGGTGGTATGGAGGTGCTGGTGGCCATCTGCTGCATGTTTGTGAGTGACAGCACGTGTGCCCCACAGAGCCCACTTCTCCATCACAGCGTTTCCTCTCTGGAAAGAACATCTCTCCCTCATTGCAGCGTGTGACCTGCAAACAGCCAGACACTGCTTGCTGCCTGTTTCTTTCTGTCTCTCTGGTAGCCACGAGTGTCAGGTCTGCGCCATGACGGGGTTCCTGTTCCCGCTGGTGTCAGGCACCAGCCGCTCGCAGAGGGATGCAGAACAAACAAACGGGCCCCTATTTCCGAAAGTCACTTCCTGTTTTCCTACACACCTCCAAAGGCACTTCCCGTCCCCTGGCCTGGCTGGGAGTTCGTCACTCCGCCAAAAGGGTGGCAGGGGCAGATGCTGCTCCTCCCAGAGCAGCCGAAGGGAGAGACACCGAAGGGAGAGACAGGGACTGGTGTCCCCGGGGGAGGCAAGCAGGGATGGTGGGAGCTCCAGGGTGAGAAGCCCTTGTGTCCCCCCTGAGATGTGGTCCCTTTTGGTCTTCCCCTTTTTTCCTCATTCTCTTCCTCCTGTTCCTCAGCTGTGTCCTTCTCATTCCATCTATCTCGTTGTAACTGTCCTGAAGGTCCAACTTAGCTTGTGCAGCCCGGGGACGTGCAAGAGCTGTGGGAGAACAGAGCTTTTCCACTTGCAGTGGGATGCTACATCCTCCAATCTGCTGTCTCTCCCTTTCCTTCTCCTTTCTGCCTGGCTTCTTTTACCATCCTCCTCTGTTTTTTATTCTGTCCAGAAAGGCAGAATGGCCCACAGGCTGTGCAGTGCACAGCCACGCACTGCAGACAGCAGGATGATGTCAAATGCAGAAACCCCAACTCAAACGTAACAGTGCAGATTAGAAGGAAAATCCTCAAGAAACAGGAAAGGCAGCACACAAAAGTGCCAGCAATAAGGTCATTTCAGCTGTATTGAATAACCCCAAGAAACGGAAAAGGCAATGCACAAAAGTACTAGTAATAAGGTCACTTCAGCTATATTGAGTATGCACTGAATGAATGACTGTTCCTTCTGATTAACACAAGCTAATACATTGCCACTTAGAGCGGAAATGCTTCCCAAACTCTGTGGGATGAATAGTAAAGGCAAAGTAGTTTCCCTGTAGGAACACAAATTTTTTGCATTTTAAACATTGTCTCATTAGAGGGATTTGTGCATGTGATTAACTTGTCATTTAAACTGGGGTGGAGGAGAAGCCTGTGCTTCAAACCGCAGGTCTCCTCTAAGGGGAGTGCTTGTAACACATTTGGCAGCTCACGCGTGTGGAGTGTGAGCTGGGAGGAGGAGCGCAGCCTTATTCCCCAGCTGCCTTTCCTGGCTTATTTGGAGGCAGCATCTCCTGGGTCCGTGCTCCCAGGACTAAGACTGGCTGTTTGCCCAGTCTTAGTCATGTCCTGCTGGAAGGAGGGAGGAGGAAGCTTTTAGGACCATGTCTATGTACACTTGGAATTTCAAGGGGGAAGATGACAGCTCTTCCTGCAGTGGTGAGAGCTGGGCTGCTTTCACAGGTTTGATTTCCCCTTATGGATAAAAGGAGTGCTTGCTGGTCTGTAAGTACCTGTAAACTTCACTGAACTCTGTGAGACACTAAGCAGCCACTTCACTGCAGAGGGCTCAGGGAATCAAAGCCTTGGTGTCCTTTCCCTGTCTCCCCACTTTTATAAAGCTTGCCAGGAGCTTAGCCATCCCTTCAGCCCTGTATCCTGTTCATGTCCCCCTTGCTGGGCACAGGCCTGTCCCCGTGGTGACCCAAGGGGCTTAGCAAGAAGTTTTCTCCCATGGAGAGGCACCTATGCTGGCTGAGCTCCGTAAAAAGGAGCAGAGATCAGGAATAAAACCACGTTGCTGTTGCTAGAGCCAGCAGGTGAGGCTTGAAATGTACAAAGGGCTATTGAATAAGGGGCTGATTTTGCATAACCCTTTCCCAGGTATAGCTGCTGCCTGAGGCCAGGTTTGTTGTGTGCTTTGCTGTCTTCCAGAGAGCAGCACCGATCCTACTTCTCTTCCCTCTTGCTCTTCCTAACTCGTTCTTATGCTCTCCTTCCCCATCAGACAGTCAGCAAACTGGCCATCCAGGAGGCCAACGTCTCGGTCATGTACAAGTGTATCGCCTCTAACAAAGTGGGTCGAGATGAGCGGCTGATCTACTTCTACGTGACCAGTGAGTACTGTGGGCATCCCCTCCACCTGCCTCAGCCGAACTCTCTACTTGAAATAGGCAGGTCCCTAGACCTGCTGGGTCCCGTCATTCACAGTCAGCACCTTAAACAGAGACTGGGAAGCCAGCAGGAAAGCAGGGCTACCCCAGAGCTCTGCTGAGTGTCAGAAGCCTGGAGCCCTGGCAGCAGATGGCACAGGCAGAGTTTGGTAGGCAGACCTGGGCATGAGCTGGCGCTGCCTGTGCCTGGGTCCTGGAGCAGCCCTGGCAGGTCCTGGGCTGGGGACATGCTGCTGGCTCAGGCCCAGGCAGCTCCCTGGGCTGGGGAAGTGCCTGGTCCAAGAGCATCCTCTAGTGGCACTGTCCGCCCTGCTCCCAGGCGGGGTTCTGCTGGCCCGAGCCCCTCGGTCGGGTGCCCACGGGATTTTGGTGGGGGGAGGAAGCTGAGCCCAGCAGTGTGGACTGGTGGCCCATATGGGGCTGCATAAGCTTCCTGCCAGTGGTGCCCCGTGCTGGCGGGTGTCTGTCCCTGGCCCCTGGGGACAGGGTGCCCAGCAAGGGCACAGCAAGGGCACATGCCTCTCTGGACAGACCCCAAAGCCTGGGGTCATGGCTATCATAGGTAGGACCTGTGCTGTCAGAACCACCAGCTTTGTGGAGGCAGATGAACATCTTCAGTCGCTGCTCCAGTAATGCTCTGCGTGTGCAGTTGTCCAGCCTGGCTGTGCCACTGCCTGCACACGTGAAAGCAGTGTGTGCAATCCAGAACGCTGCAGCTGAGCTGAGAGCAGTAACAGCCTAATTCAGATCTCCCAGGCTTGTTTCAGTTGTGACCCCATCTTAATTTGACCCCGGGACTTCAGCATATCCCTTAGCGCTCATTGCGTGCAACTGAAGCTGTTTGTCGCTAGAAGTTAGCATGTCACAGTTCTGCTCTAGATTGGTTTCCTTTACCCTGGCTGAGGGCAGGGGAGTCTCAGACAGCTGAGTCCAAGAAGACAATTTCATTGTGTCTGGCAGCTCAGCCATGGAAACTCATTCACATGTTCATTTCCTTCCTGAAAGCCATTCCAGACGGGTTCGAGATTGAGTCCCAGCCCTCGGAAGCGCCCATAGAGGGGCAGGACCTACAGCTGAGCTGCAATGCGGACAACTACACCTACGAGAACCTGCAGTGGTATCGGCTGAACCTCTCCAAGCTCCACGACGAGGAGGGCAACCCCCTTGTGCTGGACTGCAAGAACGTCCACCACTACGCCACCAAGATGCACGGGGAGCTACGCTTCCAGCCCGACTCTAACGATGCGACCTTGCTGCTCACCATCCCCAACATCTCCCTGGGCGAGGAGGGAGACTACGTGTGTGAGGTGCAGAACAGGAAGACCCGGGAGAAGCACTGCCACAAGAAATACATCTCTGTGCAGGGTGAGGGTCCACAGGGCAGGCGGGAGTGACAGAGGAGAGCTCGTGCTCTTGCTGCCATCAGCTTCCCAGTCCATCCCCAGGGGAAGCCACACAAGCAAGCTAAACTAAAGGTGGCAAAGGCAGGGCACCTGGGTTCTCAAGACACCCTTCAGCAGGGGTCAGAGACCCAAAGCCCCCCAGGAACACAGCTATTCTTTTGATCAATCAGTTTCCCGTTTTCCCCTCCTCCTCTTTGTGCTGCTCCTCCAGCCCTGGAGATCCCCCGCCTCAAGCAGAACCTGACAGACATTTGGGTGAACGTCAGTGACTCCATAGAGATGCGCTGTAAGGTGGACGGCAACCATGTTCCTGAAATCAGCTGGTACAAAGATGAGAAACTGGTGGAAGAAGTGTCAGGTACAGTGGGCTAGGGGTGAATCAAAGGCAGGGTGTCATGTCCAGCAGCTGGAGAGCTGAACACTGCTAGAAGTTGCAAAGGTGCCTGTTCTCTGAACTGGATGAACTCTGGTTTTAATCATGTTCTATCCCAGTTTGATGCAGTCTCACCAGCCAAGTCTATGCCCTAGGGCCCGGCTCAGCACTGTCTGTGCATGTGCATGTTCAGCTGGACAGCAGAGAGAGATAAATCATTCATCTTCTTACTCCCAGCCCAGTGCCTGGTGTCTCTGCTCATGCAGGGACAAACCTAGATCCCATGGAAAGAACAGGTACATTGAAGAGGGAAAGGAACAGGTCCTGGACATGAAGCAGAGCTTGACAGACCCTCTACCAGCTGATGCAATTTCATTCTGCCATCTACAATAAACCAGCCAAAAAAATAGGAGCCTTATTTTGAGCCTGAATGAGTCCGGTATACTAATCCCCCCTCCCTGTGAGTGACCACTACAACTCTCCATGCCTTGCAGGGATCGACCTGGCGGACTTCAACCAGAGGCTGAGCATCCAGAGGGTGAGGGAGGAGGATGCTGGGCTCTACCTGTGCAGCGTCTGCAACGCTAAGGGCTGTGTGAACTCCTCGGCCAGCGTTTCTGTGGAAGGTACCAGCAGCTACGATACTGGTACCTGGGGATGAAGGGGGGGAGTAGAAGCGTGGCCAAGGTCCCATGCTTCTTCCCTGTGACACCAGGCAGTGGCAGGCAGGGAAAGCCCCTAGGCCTTGCTGGTGGCATGGTGCTCTCACAGGAGGATCTGTAGAGCAGAGCTTATTTAGCTCAGGCAAACACACCTCCCCAATCTCCCCACATCCTGAAGCAGGCCGCAAGGGATGGCTGAGCTGGGGCATGGAATCTCTGAAGCTACCATTTCCCTCCCATCCCACAGGCTCTGACGACAGGACCAATGTGGAGATTGTCATCCTGATTGGGACTGGGGTTATCGCTGTTTTCTTCTGGATCCTCCTTATCCTCATCTTCTGTAACATCAAAAGGGTAACGTGACTGTCTCTGTCCCAGGGAAGGGGAGGTGGCTTAGCAGGGCTTGGGGCAACACCACTGCTGTGATGTGGGGCTGTATGACAGCTAAAAGGAGGTCATTGAGTGTTGCTTCAGGTGCTCTCACTGCCAAGGACAGGGTGCATAAGGGCTGTGGTAAAGCAGATGACAGGGAATGGCTTTTGCCAGGGGGAAGCAGGTCAAGGCAGGCAAAGGAACCAAATCCCCCTTGGGAATCAGCACCCAGTGCAGGGAGGGCATCTCCTCACCCTCTGTGTTGGCTGATTCCTGCAGCCTGCCCATGCAGACATCAAGACGGGCTACCTCTCCATCATCATGGACCCCGGCGAGGTGCCCTTGGAGGAGCAGTGCGAGTACCTGCCCTATGATTCCAGCAAGTGGGAGTTCCCACGAGACCGCCTGCGCCTAGGTGAGCCAGACCCCCTCCCTGCCACTGCGCGCTGCAGCCAGGGCTTCCTACCAGCCCTTCAAACGCACCCTCCAGGTTTTTTACACACCTCTGTGTATTTAATGCCTCCTTTCTGCCTCAGGCTTCCCATCTTCTTCCCCAGACTGTCCCTAAAGCCCAGCTGTGCCTGGGAAATCTCTTTGGATCTGACTACGGAGAGGTCTGAGCCAACTGTAAGCCCAGACTCTCCCTGTGTACCCACACAGGCATCACTGAGACCAGAAGACCTCTGGGCACACTTTAAAACACAACCCCATATTCTCCAGCTGGTAATCTGGACAGAACAGCCCAGCCCACAGCACGTACCCTGAGTTCAGGACCAGGATTTCATCCATTATCCTCCTCATGCTGAGACATCCACCTGCAGTCTCTTCCCCACATCTGGGAGGGTTAAAAGGCCTGCAGACTACCTTTGAGGCATAGAGCAGTGACATTAGCCCTGGCTGCTCTGCTGCAAGGTGTCATGTTTACCTTTCCCACACACTCTGCTCGAGGGCAACAAACAGACCCTCACTTCTGCAGGGCCATTTCCTTCCTCTGTTTTGTCCATGCCAGCTCTGTTTCAGTTCCTTCCATCATCCTTTCTCTTATTCTCACCAACAGAGCAAGCAGCCACCTGGGAAGGGCACACATTCCACTCCTTCCTTTTCCTTTATGATGTTTTTTCTTTCTTCTTCCTATGGCTTCCTGTTGGGATTTTTGTTTTTTCATTCCATTCTGCCTGTGCTGCACCTGCCTTCCTTCACACTGCCTCTCTCCTTGCCTATAGGTAAAGTCCTGGGTCATGGTGCCTTTGGGAAGGTGGTGGAAGCATCAGCGTTTGGGATCAATAAAAGTAACAGCTGTGAGACTGTAGCAGTCAAAATGCTGAAAGGTATGTGGACAGTGAAGCAGAATGTGCAGTCTGTGTGGACAGCAAAGAATGAGGCACCTGCCAGGGAATGTTCACCCTGTAAATGCCTGTCTTTTGTTTATGGCATTTGTTAAGGCCCTGGAAAAATGTTTTATCTCCCACAAGCGCTCCTGGGTGCTTCTGCTTGAGCCAGCTCTCAACTAGGGGAGAGGAGCTAGAGCCAGCATTTTAATTTATGGCTTCTTGGCCTCAACACAGTTGATCCTCCTGGCCTCCTCTCATGTATGCTTTAGCCCCATTCAGCTGCACTGGGAGGCCAGTGGCAGAACAGACAGCAGGCACTTGGGGAACTCGGTTTTCAAGGAAATTTAGCTGTCTACAAAGGCAAAGAATTAAATCTGTCTCAAACGACAAACAAGAACCCAGAGCCCCTCTTTGGCAGGTCACTCAAGGAAGTGTTGCTCCCAATGCTTTCTTCCAAATGTGCCTGTATTTTGTGTTTATGGGCCAGGTTCAGAGCTGGGTAAGGAACCTGGTTGCAGCTCTTACCCAGCTCTGAGGATTAAATTGGCTTTATGCCCAAAACCTGGTCAATCCAGAGTGAGATTTTAAGGTTTTATAGCCACGCATTCAAACAGACATCCAAAACATTATTCTGTAATTTGGCATCCAACAAAATACCAAGGCAGTGTCTGGCCAGCAGTGGCCTGCATGCGGAAACTGAGTCATGGCTCATCTCAGCAGTACTTAGCACTGCAAGCGTACAGATGATCTGCACAGTGATTGCAGAGGGAAGCCTGGCCACACGAGGTTGCTTTACAGTCCTTTGAGGCACGGCTCTCACCTGGCCCATAAGCTGCAGCTCAAGAGGATGCTTCTGTCTCTCAGACTAGATTTGCAAACTCTCAAGTAAGGCAAAATGCATATGGGGAAGCAGAGAAGTATGAAAAAAGCACACAAAACCAGAGAACACATGCTGAGGGTAAAACAGAGGATCAAGAGTTGATGCGAATTAGGCACTCAGAGAGAAGATGAAGTACAGAGAGCTGGCAGGGGCACAACACTGTGTTTGCTATTGGAGAGGAATCGTAACAAGGTATTCTGTGTTTGAGCTGAGTCAGCTTCTATCTTCTGTCACGATCAAAGACTCAGATGCCTTTTTTTTCTGATTTTCCTTCAAATTGTTTTATGGCTCATCTCTGTTTGGAGGCTGAAAGGGCAGAGATTCAAACATATGCATCTGTATGTAAGCCTCAAGTGATCTTTTTCCCTGCACAACTATCACAAGGAAAAATCTGTTGGGCACAGGTGGTGGTGTCCTTTGCTCTGTGTCCCTGCACCTTCAGGGAGCACCCCATGTGTTACAGCAGGGATCCTGGGATCTTCAGAACAAGGCTCTGACATTTCATATGGAAACATGCAATAACAAAATGTACCAAGGCTTTGGGGTCACAGCCTCCTCAGCAAGACTCTCATTAACACTCTGTTAGGAGAAGGGTGGCGAGGGGGAGTGAAAAGCTGTGAGGAGGCGTCATGACATGATCTGTGTGTTTCCAGAGGGAGCTACCGCAAGTGAGCACAAGGCGCTGATGTCAGAGCTGAAGATCCTCATTCACATCGGGAATCACCTCAACGTTGTGAATTTACTGGGTGCCTGTACCAAACCCAATGGTAAATATCCCAGGGCATCAGGCTGTGCCCGCTCCCAGAGATCAGTGCTCAGCCCCTGTGTCTTTCTGCTGGCCACGTGTGTGACAGCAGGGACATGTAGAGATGTTATCAGTGTGCTGTGTGCACTTAGGGCAGGTGCCACAGCTCAGCAGGGCTGCATATAACACGAGTCAGGGCAAATTCTGACCATCGCAAGCTCTCACCTCCTCCCATGACTTTTGCTTTCTTCTCGCCAGGTCCACTCATGGTTATTGTTGAGTTCTGCAAATATGGAAACCTCTCCAACTACCTGCGGACCAAGCGGGAAGGGTTCAGTCCCTACAGGGTAAATAGCTTCCTTTGCCCCTAGGGACCCACCTTATGCCTAGGGAAGGAAGACATGTAGCCTGAAACATGATCTGACAATGGGATAAAGACACCGTCTGTCTAGGGCAGATCAACTTTACAGTGATCTTGGTTCGTGCGCACATCAGGGCAGTAATTTCTTTCTGCAGGGGATGATAGGTGCTTCCAGATCAGAATTACAGTCTAAGAACAAGAAAAGACCGCGGCTTGTGGGTGCAAGGGTTACAGTGTGTGTTGCCTGCTGAGGTTTTTGGTTTGGTCTCCTTGCCAGGAGAAGTCTCCCAGGCTGCGTATTCAGGTCCAGTCCATCGTGGAGGCAGTGAGAGCAGACAGGAGGAGTCGTTCTGGGACTAGTGACAGTGCTATCTTCAACCGCTTTCTGATGCACAAGAGCCACACAGTGCAGCCAATCCAGGAAGGTAATACTCCAGCCTTGGCAGTGGCTCCTCACCTGACCCACCAAAGAAACACCAGACTTGGCTAGCTTGGGGAATGGATAGGGCATGACAGCGGGCAGCTGGGACTCAGCCTTGGTGGTGATCACTCCAGTGTTGCATGGCAATTCCCTGAACAGGGCTATTACAGTCATCTGTTGTCTCTTGTTATAGACTCTTGAAAGCCAGAAAGGAGGATTAAATCCCTTTGGATTTTTTTTTTAGCCTAAAGAAAGGAGAATTGAAGGGGATCTCAGTGAGTCCTCCCTAGGATGGGAATGATAAGCTGACCTTCAGAGTCCCTTCCAGCCCTGTTTCCACAACTCTGTCTGACTAATGTGTGCTGGAGGCTGGACTCATTCTCCTCACACTTGAGCAGGTTCCTGCTGTGTGCTTTCTGCTGCCTAAGCAGAAAATCCTAGCGGGGAGCTAGTTACTTCAGTTAGCACTGAGGACTAGCTGTATCTCGCCGAGGGGCTGGTTGTATCCCGCAGTCCTGGAGAGAGGCAAAGAGGACAAGAGACTGGTCACTCTCTAATCATTTTCTTGTACTCCTGGACAGTGGACGACTTGTGGCAAAGTCCCTTGACAATGGAAGACCTGATCTGCTACAGCTTCCAGGTAGCACGTGGCATGGAGTTCCTGGCATCCCGAAAGGTAAGTTCACCCTTTCCTTCACTCCCCTTTTCTTTTGTGCATGCCTGACCAGAGAAGGCCTGCCTACAGCCACTTTACAGGTGACACACAGAGAGATTTGGTGATCTGCCTCACACTTCTGAGGAAGTCTGAAGTAGCTCTGTGTACACAAAGATGGGAAATTATTCCTCTTGCATTTCATCCTCCTCTTAACCATCTCCTTTTGAAACTTTAATCTTTAGCTCCTTCCCACCTCCACCATTCCCCCATTACAGCTCAAGTTCGTGAGGGAAGGATAGGGGAGGGGGGGTGCTCTGCACTTTCTGATGGGGGTTCCTACCCCTCTGATTTTGTCCCTTCCTGTTCATGTGCCTTCAGTGCATCCACAGAGACCTGGCGGCTCGCAATATCCTGCTGTCAGAGAACAACGTGGTAAAGATCTGTGACTTCGGCCTGGCCCGGGACATCTACAAGGACCCCGACTATGTCAGGAAAGGCAGTGTGAGTGCCATCTTCTCAAAGCTTATACAGATTAGGCCCCCTTGAGGTGTTCATAAACTCTGGGGCTGAAATAAACTGAGGAAAAGATGAAAAAGGACGATTGGAACCACTTGTGTGGCTGGGACCACGAACCATTGGCCCAATGATGTATGTGCTGTCCTACTCCCCCAGCAGACCTCTGTCTCCTTCCTTCTTCCCCGCAACCTGTCATTAACTTATTCTTCTTTCTTTATACTCTTTCCTCCCCCTTTCAGTGTCTCCATCCCTCCCTCTGGCCTAACTAAACCTCAATTCCTCCATGGAGAGAGGAGCAGGGCTATTGGCTCTAGTTTCATTTCATCCCATTGCTACAAGAAGGTCTGTCCTGGGACACATCCCTGACTGCACACTTGTGCCTTGCCTCCTCCTCCTGCAGGCCCGTCTCCCACTGAAGTGGATGGCTCCAGAGAGCATCTTCGACAAAGTCTACACTACCCAGAGTGACGTTTGGTCCTTCGGGGTCCTCCTCTGGGAAATCTTCTCACTAGGTGAGTGCTAATGAGGGTCATGTGCTGCTGAGGGAGGCGGGACCTCTCTTCACACATAGCAGCTTGGCAGGTAAGCCTGTGCAGGAGGCCCTGATGCTCTGAAGCACGTCTAAGGAGTGATGGGAAGAGACATTGGTGTAGGCAAAAAAAATAAGGAGGCCATATCCACCCATGAACAGGACGATGGAGAGACAGGCGTGCAGAAGTGGCCTCCTGCTCACTGAGGCAGAGCAGCTGTCTCAGGCAGCATCAAGGACTTGGGCTGTGTATGAGAAGTGACCACGTCTCCCAGTGTCTTGGGAGGAAGGGCAGTCTCAGAAGGCTGGTTTCTGATGGCACATTTCATGTTCCCACTCCTCTTCAAACCTCCTTTAGGGGCATCTCCATACCCTGGAGTTCAGATCAATGAGGAGTTCTGCCAGAGGCTCAAAGACGGTACCAGGATGAGAGCCCCAGAGTACGCCACAGCGGAAATGTGAGTCAGAAACCCTATGGATCCCAGCACTGGTCACAGCAGAGCCCTCTGCGGGATGGCAGACACCTCCCAGATCCCAGCATAGAGAACAGGTCCCTGTGTGGGATGCAGAGACCTTTCAGCCAAGGTTGGGATGAGCCAACACATCCTTCACTCCAGGCAGCTGCTGGAGGGCAAGACAGATGGGGTCAAATCAGCTATCTAGGTACCCTTGCATACCCACACTGGGATGAGTGTTTAAGTGGGCAATGTGCTTTCCTGCTCTCAAGGGTATCAGAAGTGTCCAAATTAGCTCCTGTGCATCGTTATATTCAGTGCATAATGAACCAACCCCCTTCCAGTAGGTCCACATGGCCAATGTGCTGGGGGGTGCCGAGCTTTCCTTCACAGTACAGATACATGCTGTCCCAGCAGGCACCGGATGGGTGGGAGCTGCAGCACGGGGTAGGAGAGGGGTTCCATGGCATAAAACTAGCATCTCTTCTTGGCAGTTACCGTATAATGCTGAGCTGCTGGCATGGTGATCCCAAGGAGAGACCAACTTTCTCTGACCTGGTGGAGATACTGGGGAACCTTCTTCAGGAAAACGTCCAGCAGGTGAAAACCTCCCTGTGATCCTGCTCAGCTCCAGACAGCTTTCTTCTCCCACCGCTAGCTCCCTTGCTGTGCCCTCCTCTGACTCCCTGACCAATGCAATATCTTTGCGTAGGCCAAGGAATAACACAGCATTTCCTGGATCAGAGAGATCTGTTTCCCAGAGCTACTGGAGAGCTCATTTCTGCAGTAGCCTTCTCTCACTGCATCCTAATATAGCTCCAGTTCTTGCAGGGTGGGTGCCCTCTCAGTCGTCATTCCAGTATTTCCATGCTAATCCCCAGATGCTTGTTTGAAATTTTTCAGCTGAGTCAAGGTCCTGGCACTTCTGCCTCCCACATGCCCGCATAATGAAAACCAGGACTTCACCAGGGTTTCTGAAACTCTATCCTCAGATCTAAATGTCAGGACCATGTGAACGAAACAACTGTTCCATTACAGGAGTCAGATATACAAATTTCTGTGAAACTATTACTAATCACTGCCATGCAATAACTCACCAGGACTTTTAATTGCAATGAGCATGCAGCTCTGATTGTAAAATTTTCTTGCTGTTCCATTTCATAAGATGATAGCTAAATGCATAAATACGAGTACTGTGTCATCCTGACGTCTCTGATTTTAACCTTTCAGCACTGGATCCCAGCACAGGCATGACTAAGCCACAATGATGTGCCTCCAGAGCACAGCGCTCCATCCACGTAGGCTAGAGAACTGTAGGTGCCACAGGACTAGGCTGTTTTTCTGCTCGCACAAACCTCCACACACCTGCAACACTCACAGCTGCTTAATGCAGAGGGCATAGAAATCTCCAGCCAGATACTTTGACCCAGAGAAACAAAGGACATAAACCAGAAATTTTCCTCCCCAGCTCTGACAGCTTCTGCTTATAGAGTCCTTTCTTGTGGGAAAGCCCTCCCCTTCTTCTAAGGCCACTCACTGTTCTTCCTGCCAGGAAGGGAAGGATTACATCCCGCTGAACGACTCTCACAGCTCAGAAGATGATGGTTTCTCCCAAGTGCCTTCCTCTGCCCAGCAAAACTCAGATGAAGAGGACTTTGACATGAGGATACGCTGTCACAGCCTAGCAGCAAGGTGAATCCCCTCTGAAGAGGGCAGAGAGAGCCCAGCAGGCAGCCAGCAGCCTGAGCTGTAAGGGAGTCTGAGGGATGTGGGGCGAACCAGTAGCAAGATGTTGGAAAAATCCCAGGTGATCAGGCGTGGTCCAAGCATTTAGGCCACAGCATCTTGCTTATAAAAGCAAAATCACTTTCCTTTGCTGATGAGAAAGAGCCCTTGATGTCTAAGCCTATGACATTCCTTCTCCTGCCTCCAGCTACACTGCCAGAGCATCATGTCCCACTAAAGGCGTTGTAGCCTATCAAGTAGAGGAGGAAAGGAGGTGTCAGCTGGGTCTCTGCCCTTCTGCTAATGCAGGAACTTCATCCTATCTGTTCTCATCTCCAGGGAGCTGTAGTAGTGTGATGCCTGGGATCTATGTGACATTATCCAAAGTGGAGAGGTAATCAGGGCCTGATAAGATCAGGAAGTCTGGGTGCTCCCCACTGCAGAAGTAGTATGGGGTTGAGAGGTCTAAGGTGATGCCATTCTCCTCCCAAAATTCACCATTTGGGTCATCTGCCTCCCTGCATACTTTGGTTGCATGGAAAGGAGGTTGGGTTCAGGTCCTGTTTATTCAGGACATTGACTCTGTTGGTTTTACTGAATACAGTACACTTCTGTCAGCAGATACTACAACTGTGTCTCATTCCCTGGTTGTTTGACGGGAGGAAATCAGATCAGGTGTCCATCCAGGATAAAGACATTTGAAGAGTTTCCCATGACACATACAATGTACAAGGCACACCCGGTAAGTAGCATCTGGGCAGGGGGCAAAGAAATGTTCAGCTGTTTCCTGACACCTTTGCTGTTAAGATCATGGAAGGAAGATCACTCCTATCTAATGTCAGTCTGTCTGTGTCATTCCTGTTCAGTCCGTCCAGTCCTATGCACATTCATTTCTCCACCTGGCACGTAGGGGTTTCTCTGCAGCACAGCTCATACTGCCTGAGTGTGAAATAGGGAGGTTAGACCCAAAAGCAAGGGACCTCAGAGAAGAGCCTGCTCTTCACCCTTCTCAAATCTGTGAACATGGCCTAAGCATACTGAAATCCAGCCAGGGCTCGGTAAATCCAGAGTGCTTGTCCGCATCTCCCGTATCTTGACCCACACGACATTGTGCAGTAGGGACCCTCCTGGCCTCTCAGAACTGGGCTGGTACTTATATCTCCTCTAGTGGCAAAACTTAAGTCATACCTTTAGTCTCAGAGGAAAATCCCACCTCTCACAGATTTGATGGTAATGTATCTTCCAGACAGGGAGCACTCTTTTTTTTTCTCAAAAGTGGCACTGAACTGTACACACAAATCTTACCTTTGTATGTGCTGCTTTTAAGAAGGCATCTAAGACAGTAAGTTCCAGCAAGACCATGGAGCATGCTGGTAAAGTACCCCTACTCCTTTTCCCTGTCACAGATACACATGATCTCATCTCCTGAATGATTCCTCCTCCCTTCCCACTCTGATCAGCCGACAGGGATGTTACTGATAACTCCTGTTGCTTCCTTCCAGGACAATCAGACAGACAGTGGGATGGTTCTGGCATCTGAGGAATTTGAGAGGATAGAAAACCGACACAGAAAAGAAGGTGGATTCAGGTACTCCTTAAGTCTAGCCACTCAGACCTCCCTGCGGCCAAATGCAGTGAGACCAGGAAGGCAGCTCTTGGTGTCTCCCCATAGGGTATACCTCTTGGGGCTCTCAGCAGCAGCAGAGCTGTGGGCCCTGAGCCAAATAAATCCATGCACACATTAACAAGAGGGAAAATGCATGAAGAACAGACCTGCCTGCTGCTTCCTAGGGTTTAAAAATGTAAACTGTGCCTATTCAGTAAGAATGTGTCCGTTAAGATAATGAGGCACAGTGGAGTGACGGTGTTAATAAGACTCTTAATGCTTATTGACATTTTCTGGTGAAATGTATCAGGGCTTGTTCAAGCAGCAGCAGGTGGGATGGATGGAAACTGTGTGGCTGCCACCTCACTCCCCCAGCCCCGACCCATGTGGTACAGGGCCCCGATGGGGGCACTGCAGGGATGGTACAGGCCTTAGCACTTCCCACATTCTGGTACTGAGCCCGGCAGGTTGAGCTGGCACTGTCAGGCCTGAGGATGTTGTGGATGGTTATGTCCTTGCCCCAGGCTTGGAAACTGGGCAAGAAGCTGTCCAGCTCATCTCTGCTTGGAACCTTGTCTCCGTGACAGTGTGTTGAGTGAACCACATCAGCTCATGTGTAGACAAGGCCAGTCCCAAGCCTCTTTGTCACCTCCTCTGCCTCCCAACATCAAATCAGACTGGTCATTGTCTTTTCCCTTAGGCATAGCCCTGTGGCCTCTCTGCTGTTGTATCAGACTGTCTCCTGCTTCTTGTCCTTGTCCTCCTTTCCCTAAGGCACGTTCCCATTGTCTCCTACACCATGGGCTACCTGGCATCCCATCTCCTGGAAAACACTGCCCTTAAACCTCTCCTTGAATGTGTCCCTGCCCTCACTCTTGTGACTTCTTGCCTGTCACCTGGCATTGGCAAGCACTGAGATGGCGTTGCTGATTTCCTCCCACATCTCCATCATCTTCCTTCGTTTCCTTTCCCCCGTCCTGGCTGTTGGTTTGTATCAGTTTCTGTTACTCCTGCCAGGTCTAGGAGCAATCGAGGCAATGTCTCTTGTCTCTCCCTGCTTGCTGGGGTCCCAACCCTTCCCTGTGCTTCCCAAAGGTATCTAGAAAAGCAGAAATAACTGTCATCAGGTTATGTGCAGATTTTTCACAAAACATACGGGCTGTGCTTGGGTTTAGAGCAAGGCTTGGTGTTGTGCTTTGAAATGGAGGTGCAGGTCCATTCCTGACCCTGCCTCTGCCCTATGCATTAGCAGTTGGTGTTTCCTGAAGCTGGGATCTCTCTAAGCGGGACAGAGGCTTTCCAGGAGTGCTCAGATTGATCTCCTGTGTCTCTCTCCCTCACAGCAGTAAAGGGCCCAGTCGAACAGCGGAGCTGCCAGGGGAACAGTCGGAGCTGCGGGGCAGATGTCGGCCGTCATACGGGTCCCAGGTTGGAGGCCAGACTTTTTACAACAGTGAATACGGGGAGCTGTCAGAACACTCTGAGGACGGCAGCTGCACCCCGCCTGGAGAGGGGGCCAGTCCCCCCACTCTCCACGTTTCCTTCTTCTCTGAGCAGTACTAATGGCCTCAGGGCCTGGAGGCGCCTGCCGAGGCATCCCCTCTCCCCCTCCAGGCACATCATCAGGGTCACTCAGAGCTTCTCCTTCAACCTATGCCCAACCCCAGCAGTGAACCTACCCCAAACAGATGGGGAACATCGCTGTCCTTGGAACTACAGCACAATGGCCCAATGCAGCACCTCCAACTGCAGCTTCCCCGTGCTGGGACTGGAGAGAGCGCCTCGCTGATTCCTCACGTTTCTTTTCTTCCTGCGGCTCAGACAGATGCATTCTGCCGGCGAGTGGGTGCCTGTGTTCAGCACTACAGCACCTTCTGCCTAGCATCCAGCCTCCACTCAGATCAGCTTCCCATTCAGAAAGCCCATTTCAGGTCAGATATAAATAGATCTGTCTTAGTCTCAAGTTTCTTCCTGGTGCGCAGCCTGAATGTTTTTCCTTGGATCGCTTCCTCCTCCTCTCCTCATGATATCAGCTCCTGAGCTGTGGAGCAGAATCAAAGGAAAGAAATCCCTAGTGGTGTTAGCAGCAAGAGCAGAACATTTTAAAGAGGTGTACGGAGATCCTGAGGGATCTTTGTAAATGTTCATGCACACTGTTCATTCTGGGTAGATGCCAGCCTGCCAGCCTCTCCATCTCCTCTGCAAGCAACACCCACACCCCTCTCATCTCTGCTGGGGGGAAACCTGTCAATCTGCCTTATACCAGTATTATTTTAGCCATCTGAACACAGCTAGTGCTGAGTAGGTCATCAGCTGATGGCTGGAGTCCTCCCACTGAGATAAATGGCAACTCTTTTTGCACGCCCTATGCAAAACAGGAGTTTATATGATCTGTGCTGGGAGCAGGTTACTCACAGGTCTGCTGCTCTCGCCTTCCTCTTCTCCCAGAGCAGTGCTGAGATCATTTGTTGCTCGAGTGAGAAATTAAAGCAAGGCTGTGTTAATTTCAGCTGGCTTCTAAACATAGAGTGAAAATGGAATGTTTGCTGGGAGGAAAAGGATCAAAGTGGTAGGGAGTGAAATGTTTATTTTCAAGTTGCTGCAAGGGTTTGGGGAGCAGTGGAAGAAACAGAGCTCCAGCAATGAGGTGCCCTTGTGTGTTGGCATCACTGAGCACACGGAGGGCAGCACCTGGCCAGGGCTTAAGCCCCAGTTCTCCTGGATGGACAGTTCTGCACCATGACCTTTCCTGTTGCCTGAGTTGCCTGGCTCTAAGGAGGCACTCTCTGCCCAAGGGGCTCCTCTCCAGTTGCTGTTACAGAGCCACGAGCACAGTGTGCCTGTCTCTGGAGGACTGAGGAACATTTATTTGCTGAGGAAACATCTCATCACTTGGGCTTTTTGTTTCTAAAAGATACCACGTGAATTCAGAGCTCTGGGGAACCTCCGCAGCTCCTCGCTACAGATTTCTGTGCTGCTGCCTCACCACTTCTCACCCACTTTCCATCCTGCTCACAGTCCAAGAGCTCAGCCACAGAGCACAGTTACATCACTGCCAGAGGAGTCTGGGTGAAGAGGCTCGTCTGGAGAGCTTGTCATCATCTCTTCTCACACACGCCCGTGGCTGGCAGAGCTCCTTGCACCAGAGCATCTAGGTGCAGCACCGGGGAGTTTCTGCTTGTGGGCCACGCCTCTGTGCGCAGAGCCAAGGGTTTGGTTTGGACTTTATAAATTGCGTTTCCTGTCAGACTTACTGCTTTCCCAAACTGCATGGCTTTCCCAGCAGAGGGTTTGATGCATTTCCTGACGTAAGTCTGTGAGTCCTTACGGATGACTCTCCCAAGTCTTAATTATAGTTCTCTGCACAAGTGTAATGGGGAGATTTATTTAGCACATGGGAAAAGCATGCCTGTCATTCAGATTCTCTAAGCCTGTGCTGAACACTCAACGTTCCACTCCCTTTTCATGTCAGCAGGATGACATGGCTGGCTGCGATTTCCATGGCAAAAAAAAGAGGCAGAAAACTGGACCAGCTTGAGCCAACCAAACCGGCTCAAGATGTGGAATTGGAAACTGCATGTGACAATGAATTCCCTGACTTGTACTGGTGTCCCCTGAAGTTGCCAGGAATTTAAGCATCTTTAGGTAATTGTTATGACTCAGTAAGAATCCTCTGGCAGGAGACACTGGAGAGCCAGGCCAAGGAAGTAGGACAGCCAACGGGGTGTAGGCCAGACCAAATTCTCCTGCCCTCATCTTGCCCTGGTTTTTAAACTGGTGGTTCCCTTGACAGAAGGAAGGCTGCATGTGCCCTGTGCTGCTGGGGGTCTCCCCCAGCATTCACATGAGTGGAAGGTGACAGACAGCTGAGCTAAATTCAGGCTGCTCGCTGGGTGATGTACATCCGTAGCACGCAAGCTCTCTTGTTTCTAGTGCTTCACAAACAGTTCTCTGCCTGGAAACACAGCCCCATCTGAAAAAGCACCCAAGAAAGAGGCCTATGAATAAAATAATAGTTGAAAAACAGAATTCAAAAGTAGCTGCAAGTCCTTGTCCATAGTGAGGGATAGAAATGTACTAGCAAAGCCCAACGCTTGCAGGGCACTGGCAGGATTCCTCAGCAGAAAGGGGACAGAGGCGTCTGAGCACGCCGGCTGGCTGTCAGCACTCCCAGCCAGCCAAGACAGCTGCACTTTGTCTCTAAGTTCAGCTGTAAATTGCTCACAAGATTCTTGTGAAGAAGGGTTACTTCATTAGAGCCATTGTTAACAATCCCCTGCTTTACTCTGGGGAAAGCACTGGCGCGACATCTGGTTTTTGAACATTCAAATCACTCAACTCCACAGAAGTTTATTTTCTCTCTTTTGCACCATCTTGATGGGGGGGTGGAATCAAATCCTATTGTATCTCCGTCAACAGCATTGCATGAACAATGCAGCCGTGATACGAGCAAACGCTGGCTCCTCTTCAGACACTCCTGCTGATGAAGAACAATTGTAGTGTGGGATATTGAAGAGCTGTTGAGACAATTGTACTTTCACTCTCTTGAAAGTATACTAAAATTAGAGTCTACAAACCTGATAACCTTCCCCACACTCCCGCATTATTTCTGGTAAATTTTTTACAGTCTCCAGATAAGTGTGAGCATGAAATGAAGCTGGTCTGGTTTGGTTTTAAGATGTGAGGCAACAGCGTTGTCTGTCTTTCCACAGCAACAAGGGAGTATTTCAAATTTAAAACCCAGGGTTCGATAATTGTGCCTGCTCCTTTCACAATGCACTCTGTGTTTTGTTTTGTGTGGGCTTTTTACTGGAACTCAACATTGAAGCTAAGCTATTTATCATCCTCCTCCTTTAAAATGACTGTTCCCGCCCTATGCGCAGTCTCATTTTTCCTTACAAAGTGTTGGTGTTGAGAGGACATTCCTCCCTCATGAAAACAAAGCGTTGGGTCCTCTACTTGCAAATACACGTGCGTCTCTGAAGAAAAACCTGTGTATCAAGTAACACTTCATTTATATTGCAATATTTTAACCTGGTACCTGTTGTTGCTACAGCAGCATTCGATGTTTCAGTGGGCTGCCTTTGAAGCAAGTAGGTTACAACATGGGTTATGTGCGAGTACAAAAGTGTGGTCTGTGTGTGCGAGTGAGTGTTTTGTGGGTGCGTGTGTGGGTGTTTGCACGTGTGATGTTTCCTACCAGTGAGCGTATGTGAGTGTTTATAACTCACGTTGAGTCTTGTCTCTGGAAGTTCACGGTTATATATCAAACCAGTTAGAACACTGCTTTCTTTCCTCTCCTCCTATAGTACTTGTTATCCTTTGTCATTAAGAGTTTCGTTGTAATATCTAAATGTGAAAATGAATAAAGTCGTAACTGGCAGCTGCTCTCTGGTTCCTGGAGGCCACCGCTGCCCGCGGGTGCTGCAGCACTCTGCTCCCGGCTCCCCCATGCAGCACCAGGCAGCCCGACTCTGGCCCAAGCCATTAGTACATTTTTGGGTTTATTATTTTTACTTTCGTGTCCCTTTGCATTTCCCTGCATCCTCTAGGAAAGAGCTGCCCTGTATGCCATTTCCATCCAGGATGAAACCCAGCCTTTTCTCATGGTGAAGCCGGATACGCTTTGGTTAAGCTCGCTGACAGGAGCCAGCGGCCTTCATCCCACCGCCATCTCCCCCAGACCCGCCACCCTGCCTCGGCCCCAGGGTCTGGGACCCCCCGGCCCTTTCTTCACCACACAGTGGTGACCGGCGCCGGGAGGGACCAACGGGGA